ATCCAACATTATAATACATTAGCACCTTCCAACCCATGACCTAAACCTTTTCACCGTTCAACTACTCTACCATACTAAAAATACTATGTCAGTGTTATATGCCAAAAAATAGAATGCTAGAGAATAGAACCAAAGTCCATGAAATTCTGGACAAGTTCCAGAAGTACACCTTTAATTTAAAAAATATCCCATTTTTTGACACATTAACGTTCTTGTATACAACCATCAGGTTAGCCCCATTTTTGCCAATAACTCATTAAAATCACTAAATTAAACAACTAGACTATAAATTCCTAACTTCGCTGCACCACACCTTCAAAAAAAAAAAAACCTTATAAGTAGAATGTATCTATGCAATATAAAATACTGACTGAAATAAATGGGGTTTTTTTCTGTTTTCTAAAACATCTGTGGTGAAATCTGTCCTATGTTTGAACTCATTCAATTCCCAACCTTCTCTCCCCTCCCAACCACGCCTGATAGAAATTCTTTCTCAAACTAATATAAACCTCCTCAATTTGCCATTGAATACACGATGCCTACTTCTACACTAAGCATTCATCTGTTTTTCCCCAACATCTCATTGGCCAAAACAGCCGTAGTTTTGTTTGAAATCTCAAACAAAAGGATTAAAGATACATAAAATCATCTGCTCTCCTCTTCAATCATGGACAGGAAGAGCAGAGAAGCTAATACATTCCTCTTGAAAACACATACACATGAATACACTTTGTTCTTCCCCAAAATACCAAAAGGATAACAGACAGCAAATCATGCCCACAAACCAAAACACTGTTGTTTCATCTAATTTTAGAAAAAAAATAACAAGGAACTGGAGAAAATTTCTCTCTGGAATAACTCAATCCTCAAATCAGGGAAATTCAAAGAGCATAACATGGAAAAACCAACAGCCTCAATTCTCCCCTTCAGGATACTAATTCTATCAGCACCAAATGAAAACAAAGAGTATGTTTTTAGAAGATCCCAAAAAAGTATGAAATCTCTTTCTCAAAGAAGGAAAAAAAAAGACCACTTAGAGAGAACATATCTAAATGTATTATTTCAAGCACAGGTGTTCTGTGATTCACCTCAAACCGGTTTCTTTTTGTATCATATTCTTTTTTTTTTTTCCTTGAGTAGGCTCCACACCCGGCTCAGAGCCCATCTTGGAGCCTGAACTCAAGACCCTGAGATCAAGACCTGAGCTGCAATCAAGAGTCAGACACTTAACTAACTGATTGAGCCATCCAGGAGGGCCCCATATTTTTTTATAGTCAAGCTTGTAAACTTACTTGTTTAAAAAAAAAAAAAGACCAAATTATATCATCTATATCCAGAAGTATCCTTTATTTATAGTTTAAAGTCTCATAGCCAGGTGTTTGTTATTTGATTAATTTGCCCAGCCCTGCGATACAGTTGGTTCTTCCCTTTCTGGAAGCTGCGAACAAAATCCAGTATAGCTGTACTTGAAACAAGCAGTCTCAAGCATTTTGTAAATATACCACAAAATTTTGCTTAATCTGAGAAAATCTTGTACTCTTTTTCCCTGGAACCTTCAAGAATAGAGAGAAAATATAAATTATAATCTATTGTTTTTGGAGGGAGTAATGCTCATATTAGGGACCTTCATACCGTCTCATAAGAAGAGAAACGCTTTTTTTAGTAATCCTCAGGAATTTGTCCAAAATAAAAAACATGGGGGCGCCTGGGTGGCTCAGTGGGTTAAAGCCTCTGCCTTCGGCTCAGGTCATGATTTCCAGGGTCCTGGGATCAAGCCCCACATCAGGCTCTCTGCTCAACAACAAGCCTGCTTCCTCCTCTCTCTCTGTCTGCTGCTCTGCCTACTTGTGATCTTTGTCTGTCAAATAAATAAATATTTTTAAAAAAAAACAACAAACATGGATTTACACTTGTATCCAGAATTCAGGTTAACTAGGTAAAACTGGCATTAACAGAAGATAGCTGAATAAGAGTAAACTGCAACAGATTTATACAGAAATGTAATGTGTCTTTAAAAGGACTTGGGGAGGAAGAACAATTTTTTCAGAACAGTCTTATGTCTATCAACTATTATTACATTAAGCCTGTATTCTGGTATTTTTGCTATCAAGAGTCCGGGGAAATACAAGATACAAATTCCACAAGGCACAGACCTCTTCTCCCAATTCTTTTTAAAAAATTAGTCATTAAAAGATCTTTTCTAATGAAAGACATGTACTCTTTCAAACCAAGACTAAGTTCAGAAACCTCACTAAGGTACAACAATATATTAATAAAAGGGTTTTATGTTAATAGACTTGGGTTATGTTTCTCATTGGGTTATATGGATCATAAAAGTTCCTAAGGGGAGCCTGGCTGTGTCAGTCAGTAGAGCATGCAACTCTTGATCTCTGGGTCATAAGCTGGAGCCCCACATTGGGTAGAGAAATTACTTTAAAAAAAAAAAAAAAAGTTCCTAGAATAACTAACTGTTCAATTGGATGAGAAAGTGAATGAATTTTTTTCTAAGTATGTATAAGATAAGCAGTCTCAGCATTTTTGAGATGTATCACAGGTCCCAAAGTTATTTAAACTACACCAAGGAAATGCTAAAAATTCCCAAAGGTTCTAATCAATGCCCTATTTATTCTCCACATTTATTCTCCACTTGCTCCATCATACTCCCCATCCCTCCTATGTATGCTCTGTTCCTGCCCTGGGAAGATGAGCCTGCATAGATCACCACCTAGGCTCCGCAGGTGGGTTCCAGCAGTGCAAGCCAGTGTACAAGACCCAAAGACAGAGGGAGGAGAGGTCATGGAACTTCCCCTCCCCTCCCAGCCTGACTGCCTCAAAGCCACAGTTCCCTGGGGCCTTCCTCCCCCATGCCAGCTCTCAACTCTCAGTTTTGGTAATCTCTGGAGTATTAAGGGCTTCTCACCATTGCTATTCCCTGGATGCAACCCCCCCCACCCTTGTTTGTTCTCTAACCTCTATAATCTCTTCTTTTGCACCATCCAGGATGAAATCTCTTTCCTGCTGGGAGCTTGCCTGATGAAGCTAACAATACCAAAGCTGGTTAACTCAAAACAGAACATTATCTAAAGAAATTCAATTTAAAAAGTTTAACAAGGTCTTAAGATCTATTCAAGTACTACTTATTATTTGTATAACTTTAAAAATTAAATATAACTAGCTCACTTCTAAATGAAGCTTGTTAAAAGCTGAAAAACTCATTACAATTAAAGTTAGGTGTGCAATTTAACACTGCCCCTCTCAAAGATAAATGCTTATAAACCCCAAATAAACTTAATACACACACACACACACACACACACACACACACACACAAAATCAAGGAAGGGATTCCGGTAACTGATATTTCACTTCCTTCTACCATACACTGCCTGGTTAATCCAAACACTTTTTGTTGTTTTACTGAAGCCTTCCCAGGCATAGGATAAAGAAAAGTTTTAAACCAGTGGTTCTCAAATTTTGGTGTGCAAGTAAATCAACCGAGAAACTTGTTAAAATGCTAGTGCCCAGGCCTCACCCACACCTTTCTGACAAATGTTTTTACCAGTTCCCAGATAATTGTGATTAACACTACACTTCAAAACTTCTTCAATTCGGCCAACTTTAAGATTCCACCGAAATCTCCAATACACTTTTTTCTTTTTGAATAAACATTCCACATTAAACATGGCCAAAGAAACCAAAAAACAAAAACTAACACAGTAACAATAATAATGCACACTAACTACACATCACGGTGATATGTGTTTCACATGTATTATTATCTAATTCCTTCCCCATAAGAACCACACCAGGTAGGTAACACTGTTGCCTCCATTTTATAGATGAGAAAACTGAAGCCCAGAGACACTAAGTAATCTAACTACAGTAGTGACTGGCAAAACCAGAATCATCTCAGGTCTGCCAGTCCCTCTTATCTACAAGCTGGGTAAGCAAGCAGTTGTATATAAATGCAACTCTGCAGTTTCAGGACTGTCACAAAAAGGATTACACCTAAGGGCCAAGCAGTTACACAAGCAACAATCATCCCCATCCACTCCCCACAAGCTCTCTTGACTCTCCACCCATCACTCACCAAGGCCTTCCACCTACACAGTATGCCATCATATACTGGTAGGACATCACAACTCTGTGTGTATATCAGTACTCCTTCTACTCCTACCTACTACATGCTAAGTACATCCAAATTCCATCTCCATCAAGTACTGGCTATGAGCTTGAGCAAATTTAACATCTTATGCCTCTGTTTCCCAGTCTGTAAACTGTGGGTCATAATGTCAAATGCACTAAAGTAAGTCATGTAGTGATTAACTGAGATAATGTACACAAAGTACTTGCTTGACACACAAATACATAGCAAAAACTCAATAAACGATAGCTGCTAATCCAACATATCAATCCTATATTCCCTTTATTTTATTTTAGCCTTGTGTTCCTGAGACTCTGATGAAGACGGAACATACTCTTACTTATCAGGAGCAGACTGGTAACAGTGAACTGAAGGCCAGGAGTAGAATATTTTTGAGTAAGTAAGTCTTTTAGTAACCCTCAAATTCTACCACTTTGACAACTATCTATTTCCCAACTTTAGGGTCAGCCCTGTTGATTACATACTACTATTAAGAGTCTATAATTTACCTTAATTCAAAACAAGAATAAAATACCACTTAGCACAGGAACTTGGTCTTAATTTATCATGGTATCATTAGCACTTAGAACTGTACCTGGTTCATGGCAGACACTCAAATATTTGTCAAATGAATGAAGGCATAAAGATACCAATGCAGACACATATTAACTCATTAGTGAATCTTTACAAAAACAAGCATAATTATCAGGTAAATACCAATGTGTCAAGTAACAAAAAAGTTATTTTCAAAATTCCCCCAGAATATTTTTCTCCTTTTTTTTAAAAGAGCAAAACTGTGTGTGTGTGTGTGTGTGTGTGTGTGTGTGGTGTGTGTGCATGTGTGTGTTACAAAAACATAAATCCAAGCAGGCAATGAAATAAACATATTTTTTTAAGTGTCCCATCCTGGGTTTTCTGTCCTAGAATTTAGTAAACAGCTCAAGTTTAGGTTGCTCTTCTGAATGCTAAGAGGTCTCCATCTTATAACCAAGTTTCTGTAATTCAGCTCCTGATTGGAGAAGTTATCATCTACATTGTCTTCATCCCAATCATCCTCCCAGACATTTGAACCTTCATCTTCATCTAAACCAGCCCAGGGAACTCCTTGAACTCACCGTCTTCCTCCAAGAGACCCAAGTCTACTAGCTGCATTTTTTCTGACACAGCGACCATCCCCTCTGAAAACCCCCCAAGCTGAGAGGAAAGTTGGAACTCTGACTTTTCCTCACAGAAGACACCAACGCTGCTGCCATCTCTGAAGTCAACTCTACCACAGAGTTCTCCTTTCTTTTTATTTACCTTTTTTTAAAGATTTTATTCATTTATTTGACAGACAGAGATCACAAGTAGGCAGAGAGTCAGGCAGAGAGAGAGGAGGAAGCAGGCTCCCTGCCGAGCAGAGACTCTGATGTGGGGCTCAATCCCAGGACCCTGGGATCATGACCTGAGCAGAAGGCAGAGGCTTTAACCCACTGAGCCATCCAGGCACCTCTCCTTTCTTTTTTAAAACAAACCATGGGCTTTCCTTTAAAAACTCTCCAACCAGGGGTTCTGGGTGGCACAGTTGGTTAAGCGACAACTCTTGGTTTCAGCTCAGGTAGAGATCACAGGGTCATGAAATCAAGCCCTGCAGCATCTCTACACTCAGCACAGAGTCAGCTTGAGATTCTCTCTTCCTCTCCCTTTGCTCTCCCTCCCCAAACTCATTCACCTGCATATGCGCGTGCATTCTCTCACTCACTCTAAAATAAAACAATCTTGAAAAACTCTCCAATGAGAAAAGTTAATCTCCAACCTTAGCTCCATTAATCTACTAAAATGTTAAAGGAGCCCCGTAATAATGCATCCTGCTCATCTCCTACCTTATATTCAAACAAGAACAAAAACAAACCTAGTAAGTATTTAACAATTATCACTTTAGTGATGCTGACTTTTCATAATTTTTGGAACCATCCAAATTGAAGCCACAAAATTAAGTAACTGCTCATTAAGAGGTTAACCCTAACTAACACCTAGAAGATAACTGTGATCTACTATGGGAATACACAGAAGTTCCCTTCTTAGCTATGTTTCTAAGCAGCCACATAAGTAACCTTGAACAAGGCACTTAATTTTTTTTTTGCCAACATTTTATCATCTGCAGAATAAGAGTAAGTTTACTACATCTACTTCAACAAGGTGTTTTAAGGACCAAAGATACATAAAATGATTTCCAGACCAATAAAGTGCCATACAAATGTAAGTTGTTAAATCTGATATAAATATCATCAGATTTTAAATGGGTATTTCTATTCATCTTTCTTTTTATGTCTCTGTCACTCTTTATATTTCCTAGATCCAACGATCTGCCAGTAAAAAGAACCAGTTCCCACCTACAGTCATATTTCAAACAGACTAGGCCCTCAGTAAATATTTGTTGAGAAAGATGTTCATCCACATATAATAGAAATTTTAAAATTCTGCTCTATGCAAAACCTTACCTTGTAAAGGTTAAGCAGCAGGTTACTTTCAAGTAAAATAACAAGTGATGTAACTTACATAAAAGATGCCTGTGGTTTTGTCAAGAGCACCACCTTCCTTTGTGCACATTACTCAGCCTGGATATAAATATTCACCTATGTGAATATCAGGCAAGGAATGTTTGGTTTCACTGGAGGCATGCCTTCTGTACAGAAAAGTACTTCCCTTCTCTTTAACACTAGCAAGTTTTCTAAAGATGCCTGAGTTGTTCTTCTGGTTTTACAGTCTATGCTTCAGCACTTACAGGGAGAACTTTTTGTGGACTTGTGGTCATTTCCCAAAATTACCATGTCATTCTTATACTAAATATGAAAAGTTTTCTTTCAAGACCATAAACAGAAAAAAAATTCTCACACCCACATTTTAAGATTACAGATAGTCCAATTAAATTTGTCAAATAAAAGTATAGCTGTTTCAAATGACAAACTTCCTGGTTCCTCTGAATATTATATAATTCTTCAAAAACAGAATTTAAGCTTATTTGACCTTAGTTAGTTAATTATCTACACATACATACATACACACATGCAGATGTCTTATAGATAATCCATTAATAATTTATATTAAGCGCTTGGATGATAAATTTTTTATTTACAGTTGAATATGAGTATCCTTGAGATGCAAAATTCCTTAGAGTTCAAACCAAATAATGAAACACCTGTAAACGTAATCACCCAACTCAGCATTCTTATCATTTTTCTTATTTACCCAACTACATTCTACTGCTGAAGTGACTCCTACTTTGTGACAAAAGATGGACTTTGTGTACTCATTTTTGTCCTTTGTGCCTATTATACCTCAAGGGACATTCCTGAAATAAACATAGGCCATAAAAAATTGTCCTAATAGTACAGGTGAGAATAGTTCAGGTGAGAATTTAGTCATACTTTGAAAACAAGCCCCCTCACAAGGATTACAAAGTTAATTATGCAATATTTTTAAAAGATAGCTACTGCATTTATGGACAACGATCTCTTATTGGAAGAAAATACAAAGTTCTATCTGAAACAAAAAGACTGTACTATTCATTTTATCTACAGTGAAAACCAGTGTTACATTACAGCCTAATTCTAACTCCTATAAACCCATCAAAATAAAAAGTACACAATTTGTATAATATTCTGGAATTTACATCAGAAATGAGAAAGCAACACCATATCACTGTCAAAGTTGTCAACCTAAGGATGAAAAAAACCAGAAAATTCCAACATCAGCTTCAGAACCACATTCATGACCTATATCATCCTCACTCCTATGTGCCTTCTTCAAGGTACATTCTTTAACACAATACCAGTTCTGCAGGTTTATCTGAGCAGTCTACCAAATGAACTGAGATCAAGGAAACCTGGTCTGGTAGAAAAGACAGGGCTTCATGGTCGGAAGACTTAGGTGTGAATCCAGACTTTGTTCCTCTGGAGTTGTAAGGCCTTGAGCATATATTTAATTCTCTAAGTTTAAATTTCTTCATATGTAAAAGGACAAGACCACCAACCTTGAAAATTATTTTATAGATCAAATCCCTCAGTTAGTGTTCTGATTATGGCAGATGCCTAATAAAGGGGTAATGAACTTATGCTATTCAAGTTCAGAAATTATTATGAAGTACCCCATTAAGGGGATCATAAACTATGAAAATTATTAAAGCTGTAATATCTTTTTCAGTCTTTTACTGAAAATGTTTTAATATACAAAAATGAAAAATTCAGAGAGGTTAGAAATCTTTTTAAAACTGACATTTTTAAATATCAAAATGAAGCTTCAATTATCACCAGTGAAAACGGGTTCATTTTCCATAAAATGTTTTGGGTGTTTATATTTATTCAAACTTCACGTGGTCAAAAATTTTAAAACTTTCTGAAAAGAGCTGTACTTTAGAACCCAGAGACAGCCCAGTTATCTAAACAATGGGCTACATGATACACCACAGTCTCCAGGCAGTCACAACAGGATGAGAAAAGAGCCTTCAGTCTCTCTCAGATTTCCTGGCCACTGTTATTTTAAAACTTGATCACATAAACATAAACAGAGGGAAAAGATCCACTTCAGATTAAGTGCAATGAGTTATGATTTACGATCTCTGTTTTTAATACCTTGCATTTACATTTTTATTTGTAATTGATGTAATTTTAAAAAAGCTCTTGTTCAGTAGCACCTATATAAACATAATGTAATTTGCATTACATTTTTCTTGCTCATGTTTCTAGACCCTAATGAAGAATATATGCATATTAGTTTTATATAATGTATACTTAGAGTTTTTAATCATGATAATCTTAAAGTCATTCATCACTTCTGTTACTCCCTTTTAAAACGTCTTTGAAAACGAAAATGTAATTCAAACTGGGAGAACAATATGTCACATAGAATATACAAATGCAATAGGCAAGTCTAAGACTAGAACAACTTCTGTTTACCACTGTGGGTATAATTCCTGCGCAACTTCAGATACTCAAAATGAGCTGGATATTTAAAAGTCAATTAGTTATTTTGAACGGCTGCATTGTTTCAAGCTCTGGCTATGGCCCAGTTTGTAATATTTCTAAAATTAATGATAAAAAACACCAAGGTAATTTTTCCACTGAACAATTTCCAACTGTAAAACCACAGCCCAACATATCTAGGAAGTTTAGTTAATTTGTACAGATATGCTGTTTTGGCTGCCAACCTTTGTACCATGACCACTCCAGCCCAAGTTCAAGATTCACATTTTATGGTGTGAATAGTTTCAAGTAAATCTTAAGAATTTCTAAAACTCTCAAACCCTGACTGTATACATGAAGATACACTGCATCTACACCACCAGAGCATAACAGCAAATGGAACTTTTGCTTAGCATGTACAGCGATCTGTGAAGTTGGGACAGTGTTCCTAGTTGTTCACTAATATCTGTAAATTAGGATGTAAGCATTCCTCCACAACTTTATGCCAGATAAAATATCACCTGTTTTCTTAAACTGTATAGAAATGGTATTTCTGACACGGATATTCTAGTGATAACCCTACCAAATTATTTTCTACTTAATAATACCTTGCTCCGGAATTGGAGCATTTTAAGGTTTTAAGGAGTTTGGGGAAATTAACAAATAAAAGCTCTTCTTCAGTAGCACCTATATAAATTAATATACTCCAAGTACTAGACAACCTGAAAACTAAAATTACAGTGTTTGACTGTCCCAGCCTGGTCTCCTACATGATTAAACTATTAATTTAATAGTGGTAGTCACCTGATCCTCATATCTCAGAACAAACGGCCCTATTCCTACACTGAATTTTAAGCTTGTTTACTTAAGAGAAAACTATCACGGAGTGTCAAGTCAGAGTGGGTCACCTGAGAGCTCTGCTTCTAACTGGGAACGAGAGTAGATACACAAAGGTATCTTGGTGACGATAAACCCATGAAAGGGGACTCTCATTGTCCTGTGGAAATGAGAACCAGCCCTGGCACTACCTCGAGCAGCCGGCCGGGCCCACCCATCACCTGCTTCACCCGAGGCGTCCTCGGGACGTGAAACTAGCCGTGGGCCCCCGGACTGCCCGAGGAGGCCCCGAAGCAGGGAGGGCCGGGGCAGGGAGGGCCGGGGCAGCGAGGCCTGACGCTGACGCCCCGAAGCAGGGGCACCGCGTCACTCACCGGTGCGGAGGCGAGGGCAGGTGCGCGGCAGCGAGGCAACCTGTAGCCGGAGAGGTGAAGGGCGGGGGTCAA